AGGTGGGATGAGGGGCGGTTGGGGGGGAGGTTTGGGCTGGGACTAGGCTCCTTGTGAGACTCCCCCGTGACTGCTCTTGGCTTTGCAGGGTGCGAGGCCCTGTCCGGAGCCCTTGCCTGCGAGGGCAGAGGGTCATCGAGGGCTGCCCCGTGCTGAGACCTCCCAGACATGCATGTGCTGGCAGTAGGGTGACCAGACGTCCCGATAAAATCGGGACCGTCCCAATTTTTTGCTGTTTGTCCCGATATTTTGCTCCACCGGCAGCACTCGGCTTTTTTTTTTTGCCCCCCGCCTTCCCCCCCCCGCCCCGGGTTGTCCCAATATTTTCTTCATCTCATCTGGTCACCCTAGCTGGCAGGCTGCAGCAGGCCAGCTCCGCGCTCAGTGTGGGGCTCGCCCTCCAGAGGGGTGGGGTGCGGCCCCCCAACCCCCAGCCCTGCCTCTGCCCAATCACCCCCCCAATCCCAGCCCTGCCTCCCCCAATGGCCCCCTCACTCCCAGCCCTTCCTCCCCCCAATCGTTCCCCCCACCCCGCAGCCTTCTCACATTAGTTGCTCTCTGCATTATTTTCTAGATTCCCCAGCAGCCGATGACAATATTTCAGCAGATCCCTGGGATCCTGTCTCCTTTCACTCAGCCCGTAAGGCCAGGACATGTCCGAGAAGGTAGGAGACTAAAACACAAAACCTTCCCTGCAAGTTCAGCAACGCTAACAAATACTCAGGCTGAAATTCTCATGCTAAAAACCCACCAGAACAATGGTTTAAACGGACATCTTTATCCATCCGAAAGAAACCAAACAGCGCACGTCATCCCCTTCAAAGCAGGTACTCGTGACCCTGAGCCTGCTTGGTGCCAACTTGTAGTGGGCATAGAGGCTGCCTAGAGGTTTACAGGGATACCTTGGGTCTAATGCCTACACAACAGTATGGCAAAGCATGGCAGTGACGTCTCTACCAACAGCCAGTAAAGCGCTGGTCGTCCTAGTCACTGGGAGATGTATGTACGGGCGATATTTAAGGAGATATGTAGCCATACTGAAAACTATGCTCTGAAGGTGTGTAAGTTCAGACAGGTCATCTGAAGGTGATAAACAGATTCGGTTCAGGCAGGGGGTAGGAGACGCTTCTCTCTCCCTGGCTGACCTTTGGGTGTCTTACAACATAAGTCGATCTGCATCTGGTGCCATGAGCTAATCAAGATTGTCTAGTCAAGGAGAGATCATGAAATCTGCAGGAAGAAACAAACAGCAGGAGGTTGTCCTGTTTATGACTGAGATCAAAGAATTCGACCTACACCCTGAGCGGTGTAGGTAAGCCAACCTAACCCCCCAGTGTAGGCAGTTCTACACAGAACAAGGAGCAATGGTCTCAAGTTGCAGTGGGGGAGGTCTAGGTTGGATATTAGGAAACACTATTTCACTAGGAGGGTGGTGAAGCTCTGGAATGGGTTACCTAGGGAGGTGGTGGAATCTCCATCCTTAGAGGTTTTTAAGGCCTGACTTGACAAAGCCTTGGCTGGGATGATTTAGTTGGGGTTGGTCCTGCTTTGAGCAGGGGATTGGACTAGATGACCTCCTGAGGTCTCTTCCAACCCTAATCATCTATGATACTATGATAGCTTGATGGAAGAATTCTTCCCTTGACCTAGGCCTTGTCTACACTACACAGTTTTGTCGACAAAAGCTGTTTCATCGACAAAACAGTGGCGGTGCACACACTGCAATGCTCCTTCTGACAATACTCTGCTGCTTTGCCGACAAAATAAAACCACCTTGACGAGAAGCGTAGAACTTTTTGCAGCACAAAGTGTTAGTGTGTAGACACCGCACTTGGCTATGTCACTGTACATGGCCTCCAGGAGGTGTCCCACAATGCCCATCCTGACTGCTCTGGTCAGCAGTTCAAACTCCGCTGCTCTGCACCCAGGTAGCAGGCATTCACCCCTCCCCCTTTAAAGGCCTGGGAATTTTTGAAATTCCACTTCCTGTTTCCTCGGCGTGGAGATCTCATCTCGCATCTTCCCAGCGAGTAGGTGGCGAGTAGCACAGTGGGATAGCTACCCACAGTGCACTGCTCTCGCTGTCAATGCTAGAGCACCAACTGTGGACACGCTCCACCAACAGAAGGAGCGTCATGGGAACATGCACAAGTGGTGTCATTATACCAGTTTTTGATTGTCTGCGTAACTTGCGTTGACGAAACTGTGTAGTGTAAACAAGGCCCTAGTGATTAGCATCTCGTGAGGAGGCGGCTCCCCTATGCCAACAGGAGGACCCCTCCCATTGCTGCAGGTCGTGTCTACACCGGAGCACTAGAGGCGCAGCTGTGCCACTGTAGCATTTCAAGTGTAGACAAGCCCTTAGTCTGGTATCTCAGGAGAATGAAGAGAGACACCTGGTACCTACCTAGCAGACAGGCAGCCAGCACGCTTGTCTTCAGAATGGAGGGCCAGGGCCAGCCTGTCTGTTAAACTCTGGGAGGAAGAGTCTGGTTGAGCTAACCTGTATGAGACAGGGGAATGGTTGTTAGGTAAGTCTAAGCTCTAGAAGGCGTGCTATGACCTTTTTTTTAAAGATGGAACCAGTTGTTTCCAACACTTCTACCCACTTGCTATTACTTGAATCACTGTTAAATACGCTTACACTTGGTTTCCCCATGAACCAGTGCTGTGAGCTGAGAGGAGCGGTGGTCCCGTGGTGTCTCTGGTAATCTGGGGTGCTGGTCCTTTGGGAGCAGCGGATCTGGGAATTCTGCAAGTGGCCAGTGAAACGGGGGCTGGACACTCCAGGGGATGCTCGGGGCTGGGCGTGTGCCTGTTGCTAACCAGCAGAGTGGGCAGGTTGAGAGACAAGGGCTTGTGTTGCCCGTTGCCGGTGGGGAGCTGACCCCTTGCAAGCACAGACAAGCCTCCCTCATGCTAGGAGCAGGTGGTAGCGAGGTGCCTCCCAACCCTGGTCATCCACGGGTTGACTGTTTCGAAGCATCTTGCTTCATGCTTTTCTTAGGAGATCACAGCTGACATCTGCTCAGACCGCTGCAATTCCTGAAACCAGTGACAGGAATTCCTGACACAGCAAAGCAATGGCCAAGTCTCCTAAAATACGATTAACAGCCTCTTATCGATCTTCTAGGCGCTCTGTGCACAACAGTCAGCAAATAGCTTGGCGTTAGTCAGTCTAACTGACCTTTGCTTCCAACTGAATGGCTTTGCTCTCTCGTTCTCACCCAGCTCTATAATGAGGGGTTGTTCTTTTCCCCTTGGCAGATCTGATAGAGTTCATGATGATACAAAACGCCCAGATGCATCAGGTGATCATGAACAACATGACGATGGCTGCACTGACATCCTTTGGATTCAGCCCAGCTCCTGCTGCTGCCCAGGTAGGTGTGTCCGACTGGGATGAGATTGTCACGCTGTCCGAAATAGCCCACAACCATGAGCACCTGCCTCAGGGCAGACTGTCAGAAATCAGGGCAGACACCCCTAGCTGGTGGTGTGGTCTCTAATTAGATTTCACCAAGCCGGTAACAAATGTGAATTCCTGGATCACTATCCCAGTCTGACCATGGAGTCACAGACAGTCCCCTTGGACTCTCCAATCTATCTTGCCACCCCGGCAAACTGGACTTTGGGATAAATGGTCACTTACATCAAAAATCACACCACATTCAGGTTCCTTCCAGTCCCGAGAGCCCAGTCACTTACCCCAGATTAACTGGTACCCTAGATCTTACACCAAAGACAACCCCTGTAGCCAATTCTATAGTAAACTAAGTAAAGGTTTATTAGCTAAGAAGAAGGAATGAGAGTTAGTGAGAGGTTAAAAGCAGACTGTGAAGAACTTCAAAAAGATCTCACAAAACTAAGTGATTGGGCAACAAAATGGCAAATGAAATTTAATGTGGATAAATGTAAAGTAATATGATGGGGGCTAATTTAGCTACAACTAATCAGGAAAGAGATCTTGGAGTCATCGTGGATAGTTCTCTGAAGACATCCACGCAGTGTGCAGCAGCAGTCAAAAAAGCAAATAGGTTGTTAGGAATCATTCAAAAAGGGATAGAGAATAAGACGGAGAATATCTTATTGCCCTTATATAAATCCATGGTACGCCCACATCTTGAATACTGCGTACAGATGTGGTCTCCTCATCTCAAAAAAGATATATACTGACATTAGAAAAGGTTCAGAGAAGGGCAACTAAAATGATTAGGGGTTTGGAACGGGTCCCATATGAGGAGAGATTAAAGAGGCTAGGACTTTTCAGCTTGGAAAAAAGGAGACTAAGGGGGGATATGACAGAGGTATATAAAATCATGAGTGGTGTGAAGAAAGTGAATAAGGAAAAGTTATTTACTTGTTCCCATAATATAAGAACTAGGGGCCACCAAATGAAATTAAAGGGCAGCAGGTTTAAAACAAATAAAAGGAAGTTCTTTTATTAGTTAGTCCGCACTAGAGGGGGGTGAAGTCTAGTGCACACTAGTGTGTTACACACTAATAGGCCCTTGTGAGTGCTGCTGGTGCGCACTGAAAGTTCCCTAGTGCAATACCATTTGAAACAGGCCATTAGCACGCACTAAGGCCAGACGGTGCGCAACACACTACTGCAGACTAGAATCGACACCCCTCTGGTGTGGGCTTCAGGCTGAACCAGCTCCTTAATGCCAGTCAACATGGGTGTAAGCGCGGCCCTTGGTGCACAGGCTGGCTGTGCACAGGGCTGCGCGTTCACTGAACAACGAGGATGGAAGCAATTTATTGAACATAACAGCCCTGCAAAGGATTGAATGTAATAGTTGATTCAAAGCACAGTGATTAATATTTCATTCCCACAGGGGCAACAAATGTTGTTTCCCTTTCGGAGGACGCAGCAGCTGTGGGCAGTGTTTGTTGCTGAATAACTGTCATGTCCCCGATTCCTTCCCACCCCTCTGTAGCCTGGACGAGACAGGGTCCTGCGTGAGTGTGTGATCTCTGAGTTGAAGGCTGACTCGGGAGGTGTACATGCCAGGGGGCCGGAGGAGAGGGCTGCTGTGTTCTGAAAAGTGACTAAATGGCTCCAAGAGGGTAGTTTCGATGATTCCAGATCCGATGTGAGCGAGTAGATCAAACGGATGTTCTACTAGCTTATAGCCTCATAGACCCATAGGGCTAGGAGGGACTGCAAGATGCAGGATTCCCGCCTGTAAACTCCCCTGGGCTCCCAGAGTCAAGCTGGGTCCTTTCCTTGCTTTCCATCACCAGTTTTAACACCAAATCAGGCCCTCCAGGGCACCTGTGCAGCCCCATTGTCTTCAGTGGCTCTTGCCCTGGTGGAAGAGGCTGGAACTTAGCTACCATTTCTGTGGATGATGCACCAGGAGGAGCAGACTCCAGCTCCCTCTCCCTTAGCCTCTGTGGGCGGATGGGAGGGAACACCTGGGTTTTGTCCCTGTAGCAGGCAGATCTGACTTTGTGCTACAGGAGCAGCTGAGTTTGAAGGGCCCGTACTTGCGAAGATTGCCAGGATGTCTTTGGTGAACTCGCCGGCATTAAAGACACACATTGCTCTTGATTAAAACGTGAGGTAACCCCACAAATTGCTCCACCCAGGAAACTTTCAGGGGACCTTAGAAACCAGACTCAGCTGAATTTAGAAGTTACGGTATAGGAAAGCCAGGGGTCTGACGGGGTACATCCAACGGCGTTGGTAGAAAAAACCAATAAGGTTCTGCGGACATGCCTAGAACCAAAAGAACATAATGCAGCGTCTGCTCTCCAGGAAGGTATTTATAGACTGGTCCAGTCATCTGTTAACTTTCACTTGGATACCCTAGACTGAGCTTCTATAGCTCTCAGCGTGAGACAGGTTTGCCAGACCCCGAATCCTTCTTGTGCCTCTTTCCCAATGTGTCAACATCCTTTATAAAATGTGGACACCAGAACCGGACCCAGGAGCCAGTAATGGTCTCCCCAACGTTGTGTACGGAGGTAACACCACCACCCTGCTCCCATTCTGTATGCTCCTGTTCACACAGCCCAGGATCGCATTAGCTTTAAGCTGTGTTCTGCCCTGGCCCCAAAGTCCCATTCAGAGTCACTGCTTTCCAGTGTACCCCCCTACCCAGTAAGTGGGACCCACATTCCTTGTCCCTAGATGTTTGACCTGGCACTTGGCTGCATTAACGCACACATCGTTCAAGTGAGCCCAGCTCTCCAGGCGATGCAGCCTGTTCTGGAGAATTGCCCTGGCCTGATGACTGTTTACCTCCCCACCAAGGCTGGTGTCATCTGCAGATTTCAATGGCATTGCATTTTGCATGGTGGGGTGAGACTCAGTTACGCTGAGGGTTGCGGGGGGAGAAGTAGTTCCACAGGCCCCCACCACAATGCTAACTCTGAGACGGGCCTGCCTGGGCCTGGTAAGGGCAACCACAGGCTAAAATACTGCGTGGCGTGACTGGAGCACGGGCAGAGCCAAAAGGGGAGGCTCGCTGTAACAGGGTGGTCTTGGTAACCCTGAGCCTGACCCGGGAACCCTGCCTACCACCTTTTGTTTGGACTTCTGTCACCCCAGAAGGGGATTGACCAATGGGGTGACTCAGCCAGCCGGCTAACCTATGGGAATCCCAAGGAGAGGCAAAGCCCTGGTGAGGGAAATTGAGGCAGGGAGCACCTGCAGTGCCGTGCTTGGCCAGCAGAGGGTGCTAGAAGGCAGGCCTGCCTTGTGACACTTAGGATATGCCAGTTGGCAGGATGCCCAGTTTATAAACACTGACTCGCTCAATTTAAAATCAATCAGTCAATCAAATTGCAATCTCCTCCCCTCCCCACAGCAACAGAGAACTCAGCTGGGAACACGCGAGGGATTCTCTGCTCGCTCCCCCACCTGCATGGCTGGGAAGGGGCCAACGCCAGCCCCACATCCTAGCCCCGGGGGCTGTAAGGAAAGCTGCTCTCCTCATGGAGCTACCCCCCAGGCCCACTGCTTGGCTGAAGGCACCTGCTCCCCTGGCCCACCCTGAACACCTGAAACCAACAGCCTGGCTGCAGAGAGGAGCGCTCAAAAGTCAGGAAACGCCCAAGTCAAGGCAGCTGCCTCTTCCGCTGCCCGAGCCGTGTGGTGAATGGAGCCCGGCCCCATCCCCGCCACACACCCCGCCTCTGGCACCGCGCAATGCACAAGGTGGGCCGTCGGCACGTGGCATTTCACGACGTTTAAGGGCTTCCCTCTGCAGCGTGAGTGTTCACGCACCATAGCGCTTTGCATGGGATACAGCCGCCCCTGCCAGCCAGCCGTGGGCCGCAGCCCCAATACAGGAGCCTGCTGTACGGCAGAGCTCCCTGGCTGGCTCAGGCCCTCCATCTCCAAAGGCCTGCGGAGCTCAGCCCCTCGCCTGGGGAGCCAAGGGGACTCCCAGGGCCTAGCGGGCTGAGGCGTGACCCTCATGGCCGAGCAGGAACGGACTCAGCTGTGCTGAACGCCATCGGAACGACTTACCAGGGACTGGGGTGGATTCTCCATCCCTGGCCTTTTTAAAATCAAGATGGGATGTTTTTCTGAAAGCTCTGTTCTAGTTCAAGAAGGGATTAATTCATCCCTAGAGCCCACGGTGTACAGGTCAGACTGGGTGATCACTGGGGAACCTGCCGGCCTGACAGTCTCTGAAACACAAAGGGGATTTTTTCCCTCTGGTTCTCCAGCTTCCAGCCCATGCTGCCCAGTGTCACCGCACAGGGTGTCCCTAAGGCCTGGCCTGGGCTCCTGGAAGGTACTGCTGGCCCCATGACAGTCTCATGCTACAGCAGGAGATCACAGGACTTACGAGGAGAGGCTGAGGGAACTGGGCTTATTTAGTCTGCAAAGAGAAGCGTGAGGGGGGATTCGATAGCAGCCTTCAACTACCTGAAGGGGGGTTCCAAAGAGGATGGATCTAGACTGTTCTCAGTGGTGGTAGATGACAGAGCAAGGAGCAATGGTCTCAAGTTGCAGTGGGGGAGGTCTAGGTTGGATATTAGGAAACACTATTTCACTAGGAGGGTGGTGAAGCACTGGAATGGGTTCCCTAGGGAGGTGGTGGAATCTCCATCCTTAGAGGTTTTTAAGGCCCGGCTTGACAAAGCCCTGGCTGGGATGATTTAGTTGGGGTTGGTCCTGCTTTGAGCAGGGGGTTGGACTAGAACCTCCTGAGGTTTCTTCCAACCCTGATACTCTATGATTCTATGATCAGGGTCACCGGGTGTAAGCTGTAAGAGTGTCCGGCAAGCCCAGCTGTGAGCTGCAGAGCCTGTGAGCGTGGAGGCGTCTTGCTGGGCTTAGGAATCAGTTCTCTAAACACAGTTACCGAGAGTCAGGTAAAGCTTCAGGGATAGTGATCATGGCCAGGGGCAAGGAGACACCCCAAGGTGCCTTTTATTCCTTCCCTGCAGGTGAACCTGGTCCCTCTCCACACTGAAGATGAAGAAGCAGATGTGGTATTCCACCACCACTACGCACCATACCCCACCGCCACTCCCGGCCCCCCATGGCAGCCCCTGGCGCAGCCTCCAGCATGGGCACAGGAGCCCCCTAGCATACGCCACGTCAGCCAGGACCCGCACCCAGCGCCAGCAGGCCGGACTCAGGACGAGTGAGTAACGAGAATGCACCGTCAGTGGGGAGCCAGCCACAGGAGGCGTACGGAGCCGGAAGCTGAGCGCTGGGGAGGTGGACCCAGGCCAGCGGAGAGAGGAGAGGCTGGTGCCATGGGCAGAGAAGGGGGCTGATGGGTTTATCAAACGAGCAGGGAAGGTGGGAAACGCCCATCGCATCAGAGTGGGAGATGGGCGGAGCCAGCTGCAGGGAATCCAAGAAATCCAATAAATTCTCCCATTTAATTAACTTCATCCGCTCCTACCGGGTTAGAATCCCATGGACCTCACTCACCAGCTCCTGGGCCCTGCCTCCTCCCACTCAGACCCTGGGCCAGTCCCTTCTGTGGAGGCAGGGAGGGGTGCAAGGGGGGGACAGGCTGCTGCCACTGGGGTGGGGGAGCCATTCCAAGGTACGTATTAAACTCTCAGTCTGGGCACTAGCAGGGGCCTGTCTGGAGAGAAGGGAGTGTGAGGCCCCCCGTACATTGTGGGAGATATAGCTCGGCCCACAGAAGGGATTGGGGGCATGTGGAAACCGAACTGCAGCTCCCATAAGGCACTGCAGGGACAGACAAAGAGAAAAGTTTGGTTTGGGGACTTTCCGTTTTTTAACAAAAACGTGAATTTTCCCAGGGAGCGCCGTGAACACAGTCATTGGGGCAGAAACCCAATTTTTGGGCATCCTGTTTACACGAACAGTTTTCACCCAGCCCTCGCCACCAGGGGTGACGGAGAGCAGCCGGGGAAACTGGACAGTGGGATCTGGGGCCTCAGGGGGCAGCTAATTTTATAAGATATAACTAACCAGACCCGCACCTTCGACATTCATGTCCTTGTGGCTAGGCACTGGGGTGGGATTCAGGAGATCCAGGTTCGATCCCTGACCCTGACACAGACTCCCTGAGTAACGCTGGGATAGTCACATCATCTCTGTGCCTCGGTTCCCCAGCTGTAATGTAGGGATGGAACATTCCTCTCTCCTGCCCTTTGCCTTCTCTGTTCACACTGTGAGCTCCTTGGGGCGGGGAGTGGCTATCATGCGCGTGTGTGCGCACAACGTGTGTGTGTGTCTGAATGGCCTGTGCAGGGTGGCTGAGGGCCGGGCTGCCCATATCATCCTGTCCTGGGCACGTCTCTGAGGCTCCTGGAGCTGGCCCCAGTGTGCAGCACCTGGAACAACAGTGTTTGTGCCTGTGTGCACGTGCGCACAGCACCCTGACACAACTGTGTGTGTGTGTCTGTGTGTGCAGCACTTGGCACAACAGTATGTGCAGCACCCTGACACAACAGTGTGTGTATGTGTGTGTGTGTGTGTGTGTGTGCAGCACCCTGACACAACAGTGTGTGTGTGTGTGTGTATATGTGCAGCACCTGGCACAACAGGGCTCCTCGACTAGCTGAGGCCCATGGGTGCTACTACAATAACTAGCACCCTGGGTGGGGAGAGGAGATTTAGGAGTGGGTGGGTGACAGGTGAAGCATCACTGGGAGATGGGCTACACCATGGGTTGGGGAGGAGATTTAGGAGCGGGTGGGAGTGCCGGACTCAGCCTTCCTACTGTGTGAGCCCAAGGGTCTTCTCTGCCTGGGCTCTCTGCCTCCAGGACTCCCAAATCTGTTCCCTCCACTAGTCCCTGCAGGCCGCAGTGGTTTGGCTTGTTTCGGGGGATGGGGAGCTCCCTCCCCCCCATCGCTGCTGACCCCCTGCCCTCGCTTTGTTTCCACAGCAAAGTGGTCCCTCCGCCCCCACCGCCCAGCGCCACGGGGACAGTGGGAGCTGACGTCCCGCCGGCCGTGGGTAAGGACGTCCTTCCCCGCCCAAGCCTGCCCATGGCACAGCTCCTGCCCGCAGGGGTGGCCATCTCTCCCCTCCAGCCGCAGACAAACCCCTTCCCCTTGTGGCTCCCCCCTGCCTGACGGGGGTTGTGAGGGGCCCAGCCCCACTCCTCCTCCCTCCAGCCTTCGCAGCACTGTCACTGCCACCTCCCCGGCTGCTTGCACAGGCCTTAAACCTCCCACGTCCCATGCCATGGGCCCAGCCCATGTACACAGAACTCACCTTCCCCTGTCAAAGGCCCAGGCCCCGGGTCAGGGATCCAGACAACAACAGCCCCAAGGCCCAGGCGCAGGGTCGGTAAATGCAGATTAGCTCCAGCCTGCTGCACAGCGTTGTAGGGCAGGAGCCTTCCTGCTGCTATCCCTGCCTGCTCCCCTTGGGCCCTGCTCCCACGGCCCACATGGCCAGGCCGAATCCCTCCCAGCCCTCGCTGGGCGGCTCCGGGCCCGGCGTTGGGGTCCCTCTGCCCTTGCATCTCTCTGACATCCGGCAGGGCAGGGCCATGGGCTGCCCCCTCGCTGCACTGCCACCACCTCCCCTTTCTCTCCGCAGAGTATTACGACTACACCCAGGGCAAGCTGTGAGCCTGGCTCTGTGCCTCCTGGGAGCTCTCCTCTTCGCCTGCATCCCCGTCCCTGCCTGGCTCCGGGGATCCCTGCTGCAGGAGGGGTTCCCCTGGCCCAGCGAAGCTGGTGCGTTGGGCCCTGACCAACCGCTCTGTCCTTCGTCCCCGCTCGTTAACTGGACTAGCTCCTGCAGTGACAGGCAGCCGCCTGATGCGTCCTCTCCTGTCCCTCACCTCGCTCCACCCCATGGAGCCGGAAGGGCAACCTGCCTGGACTCGCCTCTCAGCTACTAAGAAGGTGCTTCATTGTCTAGTTGTTTCCACAGTGTGGTTGTCCCCTGACGTGGCAGCTTCTCCTGCCCCAGGGAGGAAGAGGTTGTGCTATTAGGTGCAGCTACTGGCAGGGGGAGGGATGCGTCCTTCCCACCACGCACCCCACTCCCCCTTTTCTGTCTGCTGGCATCCCCTTGCTGTAGCCTCAGGACTAATGCATGTCTCCAGCATCCCTCATTTAACGTGCTTATGCCTCTCCTCCGATGACACATCAGCCGGAGCTCCCTTCTGCTGCTGCCGTGGAAGGGACCTCGAGGTTCCTGGGGAAGTGGAAGACCCCAGGTGTCTCCAGCATGGGGGACAGTGCTGGTGTCCTGGGCCCGGGTCTCCCAGGACGGGCAGGGCTGGTGCCTGGTTGTCAGCCATGTCTAAGCGCCACCTCTGCCCTCACTGTCCTTATGTGACAGCTACACTCTTGGCCCACACACCGGGGATTGAATCGGTGCCCTCCTGAGCTAGCTGTGAGCGCCTGGAGCTGGGGGCCGTGACAGCTGTGGATGGGCCTAAGGGGGAGCTGATAGACCCACCCACCAGTGGGTTACATGCGCCGCTGGTGTCTCCAGGATATGAGGGAACAAGCCAGCTGCCTGCCCTCTGCATCGCATTGAGATGAGCAGGAGGGCACAGGGCAGCGTCTGACGAGCAGAGAGGCAGGTGTCACGGACTCTCAGAATTCGTGCTCTCTCCCGGCTCCGTACAGTCCATGGGGGGGACCCCCTTCGGTGTGACAGCCCTTCTCGGGGGTCTGCTCTCTGTCAGGGGTCAAGCCACAGCCCCTTCTGCCTCCTGGAACCACACCTCTCTGCGCCTTAGCACGCCTGTCTCTCGCAGTGGGTCCTCTCAGAGAATCCACTTGCTCTGGACCCCCGGGCCCTCCATTCCCAGAGGGAATGATGCAACCCTGTTCTCTAGACCGGAGCGACTCTCAGCCAGCGTGAAACAAGGGTTTATTGAGCGTCTGAACACAGCACAGGAAACTCTCAGGGCCTCAGGCCTGGCCTCCCGCAGCACAGGACATCTAGGTCTGTCCCGCCTCCAGGTGGGCTCTGGCTGCTCTCCCCTCCGAGCCCAGAGACCCCCTCCTTCCAGCTGGGCATCCGATATCACCGTCCCCCAAGTCCCGCCTCCGTCCTTTGTCTTCTGTCCCAGGTAAGCAGGCTGCCTGGGCCTCCTCTGCTCCCAGCCTCTCCTCTCATCCGTCCTTTTTCATAGATTCTAGGACTGGAAGGGACCTCGAAGGGACCTGGAGAGGTCATCGAGTCCAGTCCCCTCCCCTCTGGCTGGAACTGGCTGGTCAGGTCACCGGGGTCCTCCCTCCGCAGCCCATTGTCCTCCCACTGGCCAGAACCAGCTGTGACTCCTGAGCTGGGCCTCCCAGTCACCAGGTCACCAGTCACTGGGGTATCCATTCTCCAGGCCGTTCGCTGGCCCTCTGTAACAACAAACTCCCTCTCCCGTCACCTCGTTAAACCAGTAACACACAGGGAAAGTGAGTCCCACCCCCTCTGCATGCAAGCCATTGAAAACAACAAGAAACCCCCCTGCTTCATCACAGCAGGCTGTGTCCCAAAGCGAGCAGGAGGCAGGAGATTGGGCAGGGTGGAGGCAGTGTCTAGCCGAGCCCAGCAGAGCGGTGGCCAGGAGGAGCAGCCCGGGGAGGCTGGGGGCAGACGCAGAGGAGGCCGAGCAGCCTGGTGAGGATGGGGTGGTGCTGCTGGGAGAGTCCTAGGGGAGCAGGCGCAGTGACCCACAGCGCTGGGGGAGGCAGTGGGGCCTAAGGGACAGCGGGATGGGGATGGGGGGAGTGGTTTGAGCAGAGGCCAGGGCTGACTGGCGCCTTGAGGAGGCAGGGGCTCTGAAGCCAGCTGGTGGTGGGGGGGTCCCCAGTGGAGAGGGGGCTGGCCCAGCCCTCTAGGCCAAGGGGCCATGTGGGGAGAGCTGTCTGCAGGGAGGGGACATGGGATCCCTGCCTGGGTGCTATGGGTCAGGAGATCCGCCAAGGGGCCGTGCCAACCTAGACACCAGCTGCAGAGCTGAGCCCAGGTCTAAGACACACCCAAGAGGAGATGGGCATGAGGGACAAGGACAACCAGGAACCCTCCTATCAAACCATCCCTAGGGCCTCGGGGAGGAATTCCCCTCTGCTGGGCTAGTTACACCCCCGTTCTGCCGGGCTGAGGGGTGGCTCTGCCTTCGTGGTGAGCCGTGGCTTTATGGCAGCTGGCCCGTGGTCTGAACCGTGCACAGGGCTGGCCTGTGGGTCTGTGCTGCGCCAGGCTGCTCCCTGCCCTGGGGTGCTGTGTGGCTGTGCCAGGCACAAAGTGGGTCACAGCAGCAGGGTGAGGCTAGGGGATGGTAGGTGAGGCACGTGGGGCAGCCCAGGCTAGGGGCCTGCCAGGCTGCATGGCCCGTGCAGGGCAGCTGAGGGCCGGGCTGCCCGTATCATCCTGTCCTGGGCACTTCTCTGAGGCTCCCAGAGCTGCCCCTACTCCAGCGTGGCTGGGACCCTGCTGGCCACCACAGCAGGAAACCCTCATGAGGTAAAAGGCCTGGCCAAAGGAGAGGAGCTGGGTCACTGCAGACCCCGCCCCATCCCATGGTTCCTCGAGGCCTCTCCAAACAGTCCAGCCGCCTGTAGGAACTGGGCTGCTGACCGAGATCACCCTGAGAGGGGGTCCCTGGAAAGGGGAAGGAGCCTTTCCTCCTGCACCTGACAGCCAGCTTCACTCCCAGAGGCTTGGGGGTGGGGGTGGGAATGGCCATCAGAGAGAGGGTTTGGGATGATCACATCCCCACCACCTCCAGATGGGGGGCAGGGGGTGGGGAGCAAAGCAGCAGCAGGTCAGCAGAGCAGATGAGTGATGGCCTCAGCTGAGGAGTTAATCCATCCAGGCCCTCCGCGATGGATCAAAGGATGGGCCACAAACTCTGTGCTAATCCCCTGGCTCCCCCCGGCAGATTCAGAGCAGGAGACCTGGGTTTCTTTAAAGAGAAGAACACGGAGCTTAGCATGTGAGGAACCCAAACAGATCCCCAAATAACCCCCAGCCCACTGTCCCTTGTGACGGCCCAACTGGAGGAAGGGCTCCCAGGACTGGCAAGTTATCACCTCAACTGGGACAATCTGGAGGTCACAAGGTGGCAAACAAATGAGGCCTTCATCTCCCACACCTTGTCTAGCCTGAAAGTCCCTCCCTGTCTCTAGCTGCCATGGGATCTGTATGCCCTGAGCCTGCTCCTTCTCCTGAGCCCGCCACAT